TGAGAGCAGCAGCAGAGTCTGTCAGACCTTAATACCCCAGGGTGGTCAGGGTTAAGTGGCACAGGCACAGGAGTGTGTACCTAAGGTTACTGCAACAGCCTCAGCTAATGGGCTGGGGCAGCCAAAGAAAACCTGTTGTTGGCATTGCCTAGTAACAATTATAATCTTGTAGACAATTTCAAGATTTTTGGGACTGGCAGTGGCCAGGATAGAGGGGAAATGTTTAACTATAAAAGGAGACAGATTTAAGTGCTCAGGTGCAGAAAATAAAAGACAAAAATCTATTAGATAGAAGAACAAGCAAAATCTGGAAGGGTAGAGAAGGAAATCCTCTCTGCTCTACCAGACATATGCATGTACTTAAAATCCTTCCCAATAAGTTCATAATGAATTTAATTCAGTCCCCTATGGCCCAGAGGAATGTTCTGAGTAATAAAAAAGTATTGCTAAGGGACAGATGACTGCCAAACTCCTATTCTCTGCCAGCAATGCATATTTATATTATTGGCACTTAAACTCTAGGTTTATTTTACTACATAAATGATTCTTTGTCACATATTAAGAATTAATACTGTGAGATTGACTTTAGGAAGTTAGAATAACAATTCCTAAATTTAAAGCATTGTTAAATTTGCATGCTTTATTTTTAAAGAGGTTTGTGGTGGCCTTTTTCAAATTAAAGTAGTAGTACAATGTGGTAATTCTTACTTTGGGTAAAGCATTTTGTGGCTGGTGTATGGTTTAGCTGTCTAAAGTGGTTTTAGTCGAGGATCTTTTTATGTCTGTCTTTTTGTTGTTACCTTGAAACATCTACATCAATGTTAAATGAATTGTAAGCTCCCACCCTTACTTAAAGGTTGAGACGTACCCACTTACAGAGTCAGTAGATACACAAGGGCTCCTGTTGGCATTGTCTAATGCACTTCTGATGATTAAACCAGAGTGATTCAAATGTGTTAGAAATTTCAAGCACCAGATATGGAGGTTGCAGAACTACAGCATTACTTTGTTTATAAACACCATTATTCCATGGAAGATAAATCTCTGTTCTCATCTAGTGTGTCACTCCAGTGCAGTAGTCAGGAAAATGATGAAAAAAAAAATGGAGCTACTAATTTTTTCCACTTAAATTGGGAGGAGTGGAAGGCAAAGTTGGATATGAGATGAAATGTGAAGAATGATTCCTAGCAGCAGGCAGCAAGTTCAAGGGAAAAAGGCATCAGTACTGGTGTAAGATGCAGTTTGGTTTGCATTCAAGCTGACACAAAGCTGTTTAAGCACCTTCAGCACATCACAGACTCCTAGAGCCTATGTCCAAGTCCAAATTGATGGGAGCAGCACTGAGGATAGAGCTCTCCTGAGGTGCTCTCCTGCTGCGCTTCAGTTTACTCCACACTGCCACGTCAAGTGTGAACAGTTGGAAAAATATTGTGAGTCTGTCAGCATGTTTATTTACATGGTGCATCGCCTTTGAGTCAACAAGCATGTTTGCAAAGTGCAAAAATGAACAATTAGTCATCTCTGGAAAACAAGAGTTTTGCAGACATCTCCTCCCACCCCCTGGAAGACTAACCTCACCGCACTGCGCAAGGACACCAGCAGCTCATTTTTCACTTGCTGTACACACTAACAAATATTCTGTTCCCCAGAACAAAAGTGTTTGAAGAATGTAAGGGGCATCTTAAGCACTTGACAGTTTGAATTAAAAAGAAAGGTCAGTAGCAAAGAATTCAGATACAAGCAGAAAAAAAAAAAAGAAAAAAAAAATCAGACAACTCAGAGCAGTGCAGTTGAGCTTTAAAACTGAATGTATGCATTGTTTGCTCACAGTTTTTCACAGCAGCATTCATAATTCAAGAAACTATTAATCAGTGTGATGAAGTATCCTGTTTCTAGCCAAGAACAAAAAAAAAACCACAACAGAGCTTATTTTCTTTTCCCTTGAAAGAGATCATCTGGTAAAATAACAAGAGTTCTGCAGACTTGAGTTTGTGAACTTTGCATTGAAGTTGCACAGGATAAAGAGCTCCCCCAGAGCATCAGCATCACTTTGCTGCTTTTTTTATAAGGCCCATCACAAGTCACTGCAGAGTGTATTATTTTCTGTTGGTCTGTGCCAGGACTGCTGCCTTGTATTTGGGATGTCAACACCAGAGAAAAGGCTACAAAATTTGCAGGACTAATACAAAATTCAGATCAACTTTTGACAGAGGCACAACAAGTACTGAAAGTGAGGCAAGGTGCCAGGTGAAAAGCAAGACAGCAAGCAAAGGGGATTGTGTGGGAATGAGAGTAAAGAGACAGTGGCTGAGGAGAGCTCTGGTAGGCCAAGAACAGAAAATGGCAAAGGTAGTGCATTTACCACTCGTCTGCTGACAACTGACCTCCACCAGGGCTCTTAATCTGCTGCTGGAGGTTTAACAACATCCACAACTTCCCCATCCCACCAACATAATTGTGACATTAAGTGATTATAGAAACAAGGGATCAAAAGGACAACTTTTATTTGGTAGGTCAGTCAGGGAGCTCATAAATTTGTCAACATAATTATCACTTTCTGTAACAAACTTAATTTCTCTTTTTTTAAAAAAATAATAAAAAGAAAGGAATTTTCTACCTTTTCTTTGCATGTGGGTGGTGGAGAGGACTTGGAAATACCTTGATGAAGCTCTGGCAGTTTCAAAGTTCTGAAAAAAAATAAAATCTTTCTTCTCTTTTCTGCCTCCCTTCCCTGCTACATTCATATCTTCCCACTAGTGAAGTATCATTCTCCTGGCTTCAAAAAAAAATAATCAGTGTGTACTATTTCAGAACTGCATTCCTAGAGTGAACTGTTGTGTGCAGGCAGCCTGACTCAGTCTAGATGGGTAAGAATTAAAATGCTTCTGTGCTGTGCTAAGAGCAGAGGTCAGACACTGGATGAGACTAACAACGTAACAGAAGTTAGGCAAGTGAAAACTGCCCAGCCAGGATGCTCTGTGCCTCTGCAGCAGGAAAGAAGTCAGCCTGCAACTCCTGCTCCCTCCAAGAGTTCATGTAAGGCACAAGTCCTGCAAAGAGAAAAACAAAGTGGGAACAGTAAACTGGTGGCTGCACTGTGTGTCAGTAGTGCTTGGCGCAGGGAGCAGCAAGAGGAATTATTTTGTGTACCTGGTATGTCATGCAAGACGTCAGGATTTCCAGTGCTCACACACACCAGCAGTGCAGGATGCCAAAGGAATCCAGGTGCTTTGCTCCTGCTCCATCTCCTGCCTCAAGTCACTGATCTGTTCCTACAGGGCTGCTCTGGAGACAGAGCTGCACCCTACTGAGCACCACTCCACACAGGCACAACTTCCAGACATCCAATACTTCAGTTACCCCCTCTTTAATGCCATTAGTGATGCAGCAACATGTATTTATATGTACATATAAATACAAAAATGGTCAGATACCACATTTTAAAGCATAATTTATAATCTGAAACTGCTTACAATTTCATGACTAGGCTTGGGTTTTTCTCATTTACATTCATCATTTAATTCCACTGGAATTTGATTTTTAAGAAAGCCCAACATATCTTAATTACCATAAAAAGATCCATACACATTTTACTTAAAAATAGCTTCTGTAAGAGGAAATCTACCAAAAATAACACGAAATATATTATTATGCATACATTTCCTTTTTTTTTGTTTTGTAAAGTACAAACAAGAATCTGATCTCTTCTGGGTATTGCCTGATCTAATATGGCTATAGGTTCTATTTATTTTGTTTGTTTTTCAAAGTAAAGGGAAAGACATAAGAAATATAAGAACACAAACCAAAATAAAAATGCATTCTTTCCAAAGATACAGATGATCAGAGAAAGAACACTTGGAAAACTAATAAATGACAACAAGTACAAAGAAACACCATCCAAGCACTATGCAGTCTTTTGGCAGAGCATGTGCTGCAATGACCTTGTAACAGTTATTAAAAACAAGGAACAAAAAAGTGCTACTGGCAGAAAAAGCTGTCAAGCAAAACACTGAAAAGTTGGTACTATTTCCTAACAAGTAACTGCAGAACTGATAGTACTTTCTGGTTTTTCCCCCACCTATGCACACCTCTTTGTTCCTCTCTCTGCTTGCAGGACTGATCATCGCGACTCTGGCGATCTGCTGGATGCCAAACCAGGTTAGAAAGA